TTATCGATTCTAAACAAAAATAAATAATTTTAACGTATGTAATCTTAATGTCTAAAAAATATACTGACAGAATTTAAAATTTTAAAAATAATAGTAGTTGGGTGTCCAAAATATGAATTGTGATTGGTGGATTTCATTTTTTTGCAATTTTCTCACTATGTTATGTTGGAAATGGGGTGTTAATACACTGCGACCTAAAAGATCTATTGTGCCCCCTTCTGTCGCTTGTGCAGCACGGAAATGTCTCGATGCCTATAATGATCCTTCCAATTATGTTTTCTCAAGGAAGTGTAGGATTTGGAGTGGCTTCAAGTTAGGTAAATTTCCCTCTTCTATTTTATATGCTCCTAGGTATAGTGCCCTTTGATTGGACACATTCAGTTAGAATGTGAACGAAAGTAAGTGAATTACAAAGTATCAATCATTTCTGCATCTGTAGTAGATATTTGGTAACAAAAAATAGTATTATGAAGGGAATTATATATAATGTATAATTTTTATATAAAAAAAAAAAAATAAACAAATTCAGCGGATTAAATATGTTTGTTACTTATAATTAAATTAAACAGTCTAACGTTGTAGGGTAAAAAAAAATATTTTTCCACGTTTTCACCTAAAAAATTGCTCCTTTGATCCGAATAAATTAGGCCAGGAGCACTAAAGACTGTTCACTTGAAACAAAGCAGAGATGTTTGTGTGTACGTGCACTGTGTAAGAATGGCACCCGGCACAGTCGCCATTGTGCAGGACACAACCAAGTGTGATACGAAAACTTTCGAAAGTAGTTTTGCTGTCGGCTGCAGTTTCGGCCAGTTTTCCGTCGAAACCGAAACTGTAGTCGAAACTCTAATTTTAAGCCGAAGTTGGCCGAAACCGTAACCGAACCTTCGGTCAGACACTACTTGTGAGTCTGGCAGGCCTTCGTGATTGTAATTTTCAGCCAGACGTGTATTTTCACTTAGAATACCACTAGTGACTAAATTATTTCCGGAAAATTTTTCAAACTTAAGATTATTTTGAAATTTACTCGAAGACGATGGATAAGTTTCTTAAAATATGCGTGAGTGAGCAAAAATTTACTTATAATAATTTAAGCACATGTGGTATTGGGTAAGAAAATTTTACACCAAAATATCCAAATTTCAAAACTTGACAGACATACATTAAAACGACTAAAATCAAATTTTCGAAGGTGGCCATACCACAGCATATAAAACATATATTTTTAAATGCTGTGGCCATACCATGACCATTTGTCATATTTGAAGTCGTTTAGTTGACGCGAAAAACCTCATTATTATTTTACTTAAAATAAATGTAGTGTATTTCTACCTAGTTATAATTGATATTAAATAAAATATTAACCACTAAAACGGCAAATTTTTAATCACACTATCGCGTTGCGTCGTAATATTTTATGCATGGAAGGGCTTCTCAACTTTCAAAAAAATTTTCAGTATAATTTCGTTTAGGGTACTCACCAATAGGAAAATTAACGGAAATTTTTCTAGTTGTCATGGAAACGTTTTAAAATAACAGCATTTGATCGGCTATAAAATAGAGGTGTAAAATTACAATATTATCTATTACGTGACAAATTTTCAAACCCGGGAAAATAAAAGCAAAAATATTATATTTTTTCGATTTTGAAGATGTTACCAGACTCATTTACCAATTTCGTAAATCAGCCAGACATTATTATTAACATTTCATGATTGTATCAATTTATATGCTAAATTTTATGCCACACTCACTTTCCACTATCTGAAATAATCCAAACTGCTATTTAACTTTTTGTATAATATTTATGACTGGGAAAATAAGAGTCAGACTCAAAAATTTTGTTTTTTGTTACTCATATACACGTACTGGAAAAATGAGTAGGTACGAAAAAAATTCACTGCCTCCTGAGCTAAATGTAAAATTGCAGAATCAATCAAATGGCACGATTCTTTTTATTTTTTAATTTCTGTTCTAAAATCTGAAATGTATGAGTAGATGTGCGATAAATGTTCGAATTATTTTTGGGGGGGCTAATTTGGTTTTTGGGGGGGCTTAGCCCCCCCAAGCCCTCCCCTAACTTCGCCCATGCCCATATGTGGTTTTCCAAATGCCACTGTTCTTTATCAAAAAAGATAGTGGTCATTTTGAATTTTCAAATAAGTTTATGGAACGTAGAGAATGTAGAGAACACGAAAAGCAATTGTACGTATTACTGGTTGCATAAGTAGGTAATGTTTTTTATTTTATTCTTTTATGATTATTGTATACATCAGAGGCGGTTTTAGGTGTAGGTGTAAGTTAAAATAAAATACAGAGTTTTCCTAGACGGCATGTCAATATTGATAGGGGTAATTTCTTGGCCTACTTTATGTCTAAAATTTCATATAAAAATATGTTCTAAATTACTTTTTTTTTAAGATGCGAAGATTTGTTTGTAATACGAGGAGCATTTAAAATTTTCTATTGGCGTCCCGGAGAGAAAAAGAATGGGTATTATTGAAAACCTTATATCAAAAAAAGCTATTTAGGATACACTACACATTTATATGAAACTTGTTATAAAATAGGCCAAGGTATTACCTCATCCTTCAGTATTGACGTGACATTTAGGAACAACCTGTATTTCGTCTAATATTTAAAATTCTATTAAATTTTTATATAAATTTTTTATAAAAAAACAATGTTTTTTAGCACGATATTCTGCTATGAAAGAAAAAGAAATAATTTCAAATATGTTATATATTCTTCTTTAATCAATTCTGTATTATTTACTTTAGCTTCTAAAATTCCTGAGATTTTTACTGGCATTGTAATCCAGCACAAAGGAAAGCTACAACATAATATTTTTAAAATGTATTTTTAGAGATTAAAATATTATTACACCAGGGCAACCATAGTTACAGCATTTTTAAAGTTTGTCCAGCATTTGATATTTTGCAGCAAACGTACAGCAAAACGGCATAGGTATATGTCCAGTGAAATGCTGTATTTATCCATCAAAACGCAACTACTGTCCAGCAATAGTAATACTTAATTTACTGAAATGTAACACATTAACATGTTATTTATCTTTAGTGAACTACATGAGCACATATATACTGCCGTCCTAGCAGGAAAGGTTCTATCTGCAAAATTAGTAGTTTTTTTATTTATGTGCATTTGTCTACATTTTATCTTACTTGATATCGAAACGGAATGTTCTATTTGCATCGTAAAGGTACAAATGTTAAAAAGTTACATAAAAACGGTTTAAAAGATAATAAATATGTCTGCTAAAAATAGGTAAAAACTCGATTATTTCGAAACAACAAATTTTCAGATAGGACCTTTCTTGCTAGGACGACAGTATATGACTTCTCTGTTTTTATATTTTTATAGTTGGGAGTAGGGTTATGAGTATTGGTCGAAGGTATCGATACCGGTATCATGTGAGATATTTTGTGGTAGAGTCATCGATATTAGGTCTTTTCCTTTGCATCGAACTACGTCACTTCTGAAAATATCGTTCTATCCATACAATTTGTATAAATGGAACGATATTTTCAGAAGTAGTGTAGCTCAGTGCTACACTTTCGATGCAAAGGAAAAGACTTAATATTCGATATGATGTTCAAGATATCGATATTTATAAGTATCGACCATGGGATTCATCCGACTAGCGTTTAACCATCGACGACGTGGAATGAATGAGAATGAATGAGGGTGTGAATGGGAAAGTAGTATGACCTTCAAATGGTGGTACAACAAGCCGCAGGCTACAGTGCTGCCAGGTGTAAAGGTGTAAAACTAAAAAAAAAATCTCGTTATTATAATTTACAATATTTGTTGTTTTGCTAAAATATCAAAATAAAAATAGTTTTCTACTAAAATTTTAAATTAGGTATTCCTTTTATTTCCAGATATTTCAGAATAATAATAATTATAAAAATTATAAAAAATCCTCATTTTATATCAAAAGAACCTTTTAGAACAAACAAAATTATACAACTGTCTTTTTTTATGGCTATAATACAAAATTATATTTTGTCAACTATCATTGATCATGAAATGAGATACATTTCCTTGTTTGATAATTCCGATAACACAAAATAATTATTTTAGTATCACATCCTTATCTGCTAAAACAAATTAGTCATTTCGGGAAATACGAATCTTGAAGGTGCGAAAAATTAAAAAAAAAGCTTAACTAATTTACCTAACCTGTGCGGACTAGAGCCATTGCGGGTTGCTTCGCAAAAAAAATAAACATAAAATGAGAAAAAATAATAAAAACTTAACAAAGTTGCCTAACCTGTTCGATCTGGAGCAATCGCGACTTGCTTTGCAAAAAAATATAACTAAATTGAATTGGGCCGAGTTTCGTCTATATCCTAGTGGGCAAATTTTGGACCTGGGACCATTTTCTTGTACATTTAATGTTTGTTACCTGACTCTGAACTCAGTTTCGAATCGAGCACCATTTCATAATTATATTATTAAAAGCATGTGTGCTATGAAATGTCAAACATTAATGTATCTAGAACAAATCTATCATAATATAAATGGGAAGCAGCGTGTTATAGCTATAGAAAAAGTATAGTGTTCAACTCGCAAGGAATGCTCGCTAAACGACATACTATTTTATCACTAACCTTAAAAAACTTGTCTTTGAAATTGACAAAAGGTAACGTAAAGTGTTAGTCACAAGTCTGCTAGCGTCCACGCAGCTTAATATAGGGTGCGGAGTAAAATCGATACAAAAAACTACCCCTATGCTATTACCACTAATTACCTACTCATTTTTTATTTGGTGACAGTTATATTTATAACCATGTATTATGAAGAATGAAATATAAAAGAAACTAATCCAGGGGTCGCTACAAACATAAAACATAATTTTCTATTTGGAAAACCTCGATAAGTCGTTGCCCTGATGTACGTACACGGAACAAGCTTTGGGATTGTAATATTAGGGAGAAAATGGAAAGCAGGGAAATGAAAATACCGACAGTTGGCTCCCGGTAGGGATAGGGATATCAGAAAAGCGTTTTTGTTGTTATTTCTACCGTTTTGTTATTTATTTTCAGTTCTATATTGACTCTAAAATAGTGTTTTTAGTAAAATTAACATTCCGTTTTTGTTTATTCGGATATAATTTTTGAATTTTTAAATTCAGGTGAGTTTGAATTGATCGTTTGATTTCAGTCTAACCTATATTTTGTGTATTAGTCATGGAAGCGTCCTTTGTTTCCATGGAGATTTTGCTGTAGAAATGCACCTGGAATGTTTTCATTCACCACATTTGAGATGAGAATGAGTTAGGTAGGTATACAGTGTGTGCAAATACTATGGAATATATTTGTTATTTCGGCAGATAGAAGTATGTATTTAGGAAAAATTCTGAGACAGGCATAGGTAATTTAATTTTTCTTCAGTGGTTCTTATACGTTAGACTCGATAGAGAAACTTGGTGATTCACCAAATTATTTCGTAATTTTTTAATAAAGCAGCGTATTCAAAGAATGAGGGCATATCTAAAAAAAATATTGACCTTTATATCGTTTTTTAATGGACAACCGATAGTGGCAATAAATGGATACAGGATGAGTCATAACTGTTGGGTCATAGAGTAAGCACTAAATATGAGGATTTGACCAAACATGCAGGGGAGAGGGAGTCCCACAATAGATCTAAAAAGGTCAAGGGCAAATATGTTCAACTTCTTTCAAATCTAATCTAATTTAACATGCAGGGTATTAAAGTTGAATTTTGTTTTTCGTATTTTGGCACCTAATAAATTCACAAATATTTTTAATTCGTTATCAAAATTGGGTCATACCTTTTTGGCGAAACTTTCTCGTAATTTCGATTAGAAAACATGATATCGTCGATCTAAAGCACACAAATTTAATGTTATAACGACCTTGGTACCAATAAAATCGCATTTTAGTCTGCTTTATTGGACACAAACATTGTAGCTCCAACGGAAATTTGAAATTTGACCATTGCCGATTCGCCTCCTTCTCTCTAGTCTTCATAAGAGTGACACAAAATAAAAGATGAGGTCAACTTATTAAATAAACATCGATATATCGATATTTTTTGAACGATATTTTGGACATATCGATGTTTCAATTTCGATATATCGATTTTTGATTTATCGATGCTATTCATATATTATGCATCTCTATCTTCAAACTGTAAACGTTAATCTAGCCCACTATTATCATGTTTAGTTTATTTAAAAGTTTATAGAGAAGACAATATTTATTATTTTAAAACTTGCAAACCTCATAAGCGCGGTGAGAAACCATTTCAACTGTCAAGACTAATTAACTGTAAATATTGTCATTGAATCTGATTATACGGTAGGCGAGTTCGGTTAATCCTCCGCCGGAAAATCATCAATCAATTTGTATGAAAGGAACGATATTTTTATAAGTAGTGTAGTTCAGTGCTACACTTTCAATGCAAAAAAATAGATTATTATTTAACCTTATTGATTCCATCACGAGGGCTTCCGTCAATAGTGTTTTTTTTTTAACTCGCGGTTGATTAATCGATTTTACAATTTATTGATATTTCAAAATAATATATAGAACGAAAATAGAATACCTTACATAATTACGATGTTTCTAAAATGTTCTTGAGAAATCATTCCAGAAACGTTTCTTTGGAAACATCGTACCATTTATGTCAGAAACATAAAAACATATATATAACCTAAATGGGTCGTTTCTGGCCGATTAGTATTATTAGGGATAGCACCTATCCGCAATTCAAATTAATGTTTGCGCGCCTGTCATTTGTCAAGTAGGATATTTGTTTGTATCACATACTTTGATTTTCTTTTACTATACGGAGAATGGTCGCACTGCGCAGCTTTCTGAGTGCCTTTTAAAAGGAGATAGAAAACTCCGCCATTTTGAACCCTTATTACGTGTTGCCTACATCTTGGCGCAATATTTTTAATAGGTGCGTTTTAATCATCCGCTTCTGCTTCGGAATTGTCGGTTTTCTTAATTTAATCTGACGTAAGCCACGAAAAATTGTTGCACAATAGGGACGCAAGCAAGTACGCCGTATAGTCAGCACAGTGTTACAGTAACATGTGCAATATCAGCTTCAGGTTCTTACATTCCTCCGTTTGTGCTTTTCCCTAAAAAAAGAATGTCTGAATTATTGATGAAGGGTTGCCTTGCTGGAACTGTGGGATATACAAATAGTAGCGGATGGATAGTGAGCACTTTCTTAAATATTTAGAACACACGTGCATCCGAAAATAAAAAAGTGTTGTTGATAATCGATAATCACTCCAGCCATCGCAACCTGGATGCTATTTTAAAGGCCCGTAGTTTGAATATTGTGATGATCTCTTTTCCTCCTCATACAAGCCATAGTATGCAGCCGCTTGACTGTTCTTTTTATGGACCGTTAAAAGGACAATATGCGCGAGAATGTGATAAATGGCTTTCCAATCACCCAGCTCAAAGAATATGAATCTATGATGTTATGGAGATTTTTGGCAAAGCATTTTTTAAAGTTGCCACTCTAGAAAAGGCCGTCAAGGGTTTTTATGTAACAGGTATTTGTCCGCTAAATCCTGATGTATTTTCGGATACTGACTTCCTTCCTTCGTCGGTCACTGAGAATTCACAAGTGACAGCAGATCTTGATAATAGAGAGAATGATCAACTTAATGCAGAACCACTGCTTCAGCATAGTCACATCCTCGATAATAACTCAGAGTTAGTCTCAGTGAACGAAACTGTTCAATCAGAACTAATATTACCAGTACCCTCAACCTCACGAAAAATGGACACTTCTGAACCAGTACCGGGTTCATCGACTACCAAAGATCCACCAACATCACGAAAAATGGACACTTCTGAACCAACACCAGGTCCGTCGACTGCCAAGGATCCATCAGGAGATGATTTTGAAAAAATATTGGCTACAATTTCATCCAAACGAAAACCAAATACCAAACGGAAAGCTCAAACAGCAGAAGAATTAACAGCAACGCCGTTTAAAGACTCTCTAGAAGCCGAAATTCAAGAAAAAAAGAGAAATACATCATTAAAAAAAAATTATGAAAAAGGTAAAAAGGTAAGCAGGTTCTTAGAAACTGCTTCTCGGCTTCTGGAAAAGGAAAAAGCCTGCAAAATAGCCACGGTTTACCAAAAAAGAGAAAGAAACTTCAAACATAACGGAGGCTGGATGACGATTCTAGCGAATCAGACGATGAAATTAATCCAAAATGCATATATTGTGTTGGAAAATTTTTAAAGTCCAAACCTGACGAAGGGTGGATTCAATGCCAGTTGTGCCGAAATTGGGCCCATCAAATGTGTGCAGGTGCATCAGAAGATGACGATCAGTTCCTATGTGCAAAGTGTGATTAAGATAAGAACCTAGCGTTTATTTTTGTCAAAAATGAGCATTAGTTTTATTTTAAATATAAACCATTATTATTGTGTTTTGTGGTTTGTTTTTTAATAAAACCTGTTTTTTATTCTCATTAAATTCGGAATTATGGTATTTTTACATACAAGTAACAATGCGGTCCTTTGTGCCCCAAGGTATGGGGCAGAGAGGACCGAATACATACAGTCAAACTTTTCAAAATAGAATCAATACCAAGTAAGATTTTGTACAGGTATATGCATCAGTCGATACCGCATAGGTGTAGCCCCAGTATCTTACATAGTGAAATTTTTATCAATAGTGATAAAGGAGTATGACGACTTTTGGCCTTAAGTGGTCCTCTGTGCCCCACTCTCCCTTACCTAATGTTTATTATTGAAAAACTAAATTAAAACTTTAAGTATCCTTATTCCTTTAGTCTGAAGTGAATTTTGTGGCACTTTGTAACTATGCAAAACCGAAATAAAATACGATAACACTGTCACAATACAGAATGCAGTTTGATTCTTGACATAAAATGTAGCAAAATCTCAATAATGTGAATTTGTAGATATCCATTTATAGCAAGAAACAAAATTTTACGATTTACACTTGTAAAATAATGAAATGCAATTTGCTGAGGACTTTTCCGCAAATTTTATTTTTATTATAAGTAATAAACAAATTTAATGCTTACAAATAGGAAAAAAATCGAATTCATAAATTGATACAAATTTTTAAAGAAATTATTGATAAATTAACTGAATTGAAAGAAAAAAATCAATATAATTAAATATGTTTTACAAAATTATAGAGTATGATTATATATTGGTAGACACAAATTTCGCTAAAAAAGGTCTTTCCACTCCTATAAGGTGTAAAAATCCGCGGACGCAGCGAAATTCTGCTACTTTTGGCAACATTGAAAAAAATTCTACTTAGCGACTCCTTTTACAAATGTCCTCCAGAGGGCGTATCGCTTAGTTTGAATCGCGGATACATACTTTATTTTCTAATTAAAATGTAATATATATTTTCAGTTTACTTTCTTTTTATTCCATGTGTATTTTTCATCTACAATAATTGTTTGGTATTCAACTATCACTTTTTTGTTTTTAATTCTCTCTTCACTTGCTAAGGATTGCATTGTATTTTCAATAAATATTTTACTACATAAAGCTTTCTATTTACTTGACCATCTTTATTGTAACCCTGATCAAAATTCACGCGAATAATAGACCCTGAAGATAGATGACCATTTTCTTATCCCTGCTCAGAGAATAAATTACCTCAATTCCATATTTTTTGAAGAATATTTTAGCTATCTAGCGATTCAATTTACACCTGGATCGTATTTGGTTCTTACCATATACTGGTCAGGAAACTATTTGTTATTATTTAGTAAGATTATGATTTTCAGGTACCTATATTATAGCCATATGCTATGCTATCGCATTCAGCATGGCCTCATCGTATGTCACCTTCTATGCAATTTATGACCACAAATTTGGTACACGCGCAATCTGAAGAATCAGGAATTGAACCGGGACAAATTGCTACTATCACAGGATCCTTCGCGTCTTTTCCTAATGTAGATTTGGACCAATACGACACGGACCACACCGATATAGGAAGTGAAGCCGATGAAAAGGAAACAAAGAGAGCACTGTTAAGAGATGTAAGTTCATATTTATACCTATATTAGTCAAAAAGAAAAAAAACTAATTTCTGAGTTTATGTTCAGATTTCGCGACTCTATACAGGTTAAAAATAATGATCATTTTTAGGAATGGAGACAGTTCTTCGACAAATATGACCCAGAAGGATTTGGGGAAATTCCCTGGACGGACTTCTTGAATGCTATGTCAGAACCGGAATTCCGACACAGGGTCAATACCGGAAAGAGAGAAATTTTTTTAGAAAGGTCCAGAACGTCCACCACGCCGGCCATCACTTTTCAAGATTTTGTAAATGTGGTAAGTGTTTTTGTGATCATTATTTAACATATCTTACAAATTTTTTGAAGAATATCGTATTGAAAACTTTAATTTGTATGGTCAATTAAACCGAAAACTACAGTCATATAATTCAATAAGCAATAACCAATTAATTTTAGAAGAAATTACTTAGTGAAGTAATTGGCATTAATGAAACATGGATTTACATATTGTTAAATACAAAATCTATGTAGAGCCATCAGGTTTTGAAATAATAGGTAAAACAAAGGATAGGGTAGGATCGCTCAAGAGTACGCACTTAATCAGTTTGCTTGAAAAAAAAAATATCTGAAATGTTTTAAACGTAAACTTTATTCAAAATATTTTAACTCATATACTAATCTGAACTTCTAAATTTTTCAATAAATCTTAAGATATAAAACAAACAGTAAAGTTTAAACAAATACAACAAATTGCGTATTCTTAGGTTACCGGTCCCTTAAGAGTACTCAGTCATACCCCAAAGAGTACGCATATGAACACAAGAGTACGCGAAAATGGGTAAGGCCATATAAGCCATTAATATCCCAATCCATTAATTTGAATATGAGTTACAACAAAATATACCACTTCCTAGATAATTTGAGTAGTCCTCATGCCACCATATTTGACACAAATGACACATAATCCAATCCGATGTAGAATAGTGTTCAGAACAACTAGGACAAATCGTATCGTCTTTTTTATTGTCAGCTTTTCTTTTCTTCTGTACTAGTCCAGTCTGAGTATTTTCTTCGGGATCACTGAAAACTTTTCTTTTTCCGCCTTTCTTCTTTACATCTTCTTTACGCTTATCTTCGATTTCTTCTAAGAGATTGTCTTTGTAAGGGGTAGATGACAAAATTTCGGACTTCTTAGATTTGGTTTTTCTTACTTGTTCATGGGCAGCTTTTGGTAACGGAAAAATCATTTTAGGTGTGATACAACCACTCGAGCCAGGTTCCCTTAATGTCGCAGATGCAGTCCTCGAATTGGCGGAATTTTTAGAAATGTCCTGTTGTTTTTCGTTTAGAATCTGTTTTTTAATCGTGACAGTACCACTCGGACCTGGTTCACCTAGTAGTGTTGACGCAGGCTTGGAATTAGTTACACTTGCTTGCTTTTGTTTTATAATATCCAGAACCTTCGCAATAATGTCATTATCCTCGTCAGATGAGCTATCATCAATAGATGATCTCTCTATTTCAGTATGAGTTTCTTTGACCTGCTCTTGTTGCGGTATATCCGTGACTTCAGATGGTGCAAAATCTGATTCACTAAAAATGTCCGGGTTATATGGAAACAACCCAGTGCAAGCAAATGATTTTTCGCATATTTGTATTGTAGCGACTTTTGAATAAGCAGCATGAAAAAGACCGGCCATTTCTTTTAAAGTAATAGCACGTCCAGGGTTGCTGACCATCCATTTATCGCACTCGTTTGAAAAAGCTGTTTTAGGGGAAAGAAAAACCCCCTATCCAAGGGTTGAAGTTTATGGCTTGCATGGGGCGGTAAGGTTAATAAAGTTATATAATGACTTCTGGCGAATAAAATGGCATCCAATGAGCAGTGAGATATGTGATTGTCCATTATTAAAACTACTGGATCTGTTTGTGACGGTTTTACAAAGTTATTAAAATGTCGCAACCAAGTTAGAAACAAATCAGTATTCATATAGCCCGAATCTGATATCATTTTGAGTGTGCCAGGTGGTGCTCTAAAAAAAAGTTCATTCTTCATCCTCTTTCTTGCAAAAATAAGACCCGGTGGAACCCAAATACCACCGGCGCTCATGCAGCATACAGTAGTGACTAGCTGTCCTCGTTCACCTGACACAACTTTTGACACGGTTTTTTTCCCTTTGAAGCATACACTTTAGGTAGCTTGTTTGGGGCGGTAGATAGTCCCGACTCGTCCATATTAAAGATTTTGTGTGGCGGTAATTTCAATTTTTCGTACACTAATTTCAAATTTTCGAAAAATCATTGGCACTGCACCTTATTAAAGCCGATGGCGCGACCTAAGCTGCATTTTTCTGGAGCTCTAAGGGACAAGTTATTTTTTGATGCAAAATCTTGTACCCACTGCTTTACCGCCTTTTTATTTTCTGTGTTAAACCTATGCGGAATTTTGTTTAATTCTGCATACTGAAACGCCAACGATCTTACGTCTTTCATACGCAGTCCATAAAATCTGAGATCTAGATCTCTGACATGGCCAGCCAATTCCTTTTTCTGCGCTTTCGAAAATACGGGCTTAAACCTACCCAAACTAGATGGAATGGTACCCTAAAATAAAAAATTTACTTTTATTTCAAATCTAAAAACATCATTTCTTTATTACCTCGCAATCTTTTTCTCAAAGTACACTCGTTCATGCCGAATGATTTTGCGATGGACCTCTTACTGTCCCCTCTTGAGATACGATCTCTTGCTTGGTCAAGGATTTCTTAAGTGAATTTTAATGTTCTATCACTCTTACGCTTGTATTTGCCCATCTTAGCAAGCTGAAACAGAAAATAACACGTACACCTCAGATGCCGCTAAGAGTATGCATGAATCCTAAGAGTTCGCATGCGTACTCTTTGGCTGCGTACTCTTAGGAACAATGACACAAAAATGTAAAAAGTGAGTTCCAAATTTAGGCAACCCAAAAAACTTCCATCCACGTTGCTGAAGATGAAGCTTAAATATCACTGTTTACGCCATTATCAAGTTATTTGAAGAAATTTAAAAAATTAAATGAATATAGCTTATCTTATTTGTTCAAACTCAAAATACAATTTTTCCACATAAATTTAACGCGTTTGTTGACAACAGCCGGCAAAACTATGGATACTCTTGGAATGACAAACAACTAACTACGGGCCAGACGGCAGCACTCGGGAAGGGGTAAAAGTAAAAATATGGCGACTGCGTACTCTTATGGAACGCGTACTTTTAGGCGATCCTACCCTATTATATATTTTTAACAAATTAAAACTTCAGGATTAACAGGATGTGAAAGAAATTCGATTGCTTAAATAAATGGACCAACAGTGGTCAATGCAAATGTTCGACATGATGTCCATTTTGCTGCTGTACGATCACTAACCAAATTGTACACAGCATTATTCAGCATTTCTGGTTGAATTGTAGTAATTTGTTTTATTATATAATAAGAGTCTTTTAATTCTTCATGCGTTGTTGGTCGTGATCTAAACACCAAATTTTGTTAAATAACACCACAGTCAGTAATCCGTTGGGTTAAGATCAGGCTATCTTGGAAGCCATGCATTTACAAAATGTCTGCCTATGTCTTTAAATCGTGATAATTATGTTTGACACTCTTGTATCAACTTTTTTATTCCATAGATACAGTAAAATGCAAGTATTGAAAAAACTAGGTTCTCTTTACTTTTTTCTACTAGCTTGATTTCCTAAAATTACATTTGACTTTTAGGTATATCCCTTATTTTATGATGACCCCATATATTTAGAGATTTATAAAACGGGATTAACTTTTAATAATGTCGGAGGTATTAGGTGTCACGAAGCACTTTAAAATAGTACTTTGTGAAATACGTATACGAAGCTATACTTTTCCAACAAGTTTTTTTCTAATTTTGACTAAATTATTTATAAAATGTTTGGTAAAAAATGAATAACCATTTATTTGGAAAATGTTTGGGAAATAAATGTCGCTTTCTATATAATTTGATTTAGTCATCGTAGTCATTTATATTTTAAATTATTTAAAATAATACAATTAATTATTAATATTATACTTTCGGGCTCATAAAGAATTTACAATAAAATTGTCTATCTATGCAACCAATATTACTTTCCTTGCATTGTTAGTTGCATAACTTTCATTCTCTTTGGCACATTTATTTAGAAAATCATATAATTAATATTCTCAACCATTTGTCGGGTGGTTTTTTTGCTTGTTTAAACTTTCAAGAAAGTGGGTGATTTTTGTCGTGTATGGAGTGAAACAGTGTATTGATTATTGTGTGCAGATTTAGGATGGAAAATAAGGACCCAAACAGAATTAGTACTAATTATAAGTTTACTAACAAAATCTATTTTTATATATCCAACTTTTCTTTCTTCGATATAATCTTTCAGAAGCAATGTATGTATATGAAAATGGTTCCACCCTAAAAAGTTAGATCTATTCCAATATCCTACAAGCGCTAAGGGTTGTGGCTCCAATGGATTCCTACAAGAATTTCGAAAATTTAGTACCTAAATACAAAATTTTAATTTACATAAAAATATTCCACTTAATTCTTCTTTCTCTCGGCCCTTCTACCTTCTGTTCTAACACCTGCCTTTCTATATATCCTGCTTTAACCCCTACCTTGCTTCTTTCACTGTCTGATGTCCTCTGGTTCTTCCTCTGACTCCTGCTTTTACTTTTCACTTTCGTCGTCTGGTCGTGTGTACGTAAGTATGCCGTCACGATGACTCTAGAACGAAAGGCCCAATCGACTTGTGGTTTTGATTTTCTTAAATAATTTCTGTTATGTTATGTTGGGAATAGGGTGTTAATACACTGCGACCTAAAATATATGTCGCTAATGTAGCAAGGAAATATCTAAATGCCTATAACGACCCCTTCCAATCCTATCTTCTCAAGGAAATGTAGGATTTGGAATGGCTTCAAGTTGGGTAAATCTGCCAATTCTATTTGATATGGTCTTAGGTATAGTGCACTGGATTCTGGAGTGCTACACATTTAGTCAAAATGTGAATGGAGATGTCTTCCTCCTCTTTTATTAATGAAGCCAAAATTGACAATACGTTAAACGGAGCAGTTATATTTACGCTGCACAGTTTTTTATATAATTCATTTGACAGATTCTGATACGTTGTGCATTCAAAAAAAAAATTGATCTAAATCTCCTTTAACTCTACAGTATTCGCAGTTGTCACTAGGTATAATTTATACATGAAAGATGTTGGGGTTAACATGCATGTCCAAATTTGAGTCTAATGATTGTTGTGATAAAACTGCGAGGAATATTAAACTGCTTGTGCCAATATTCTGTAGGTATGGTCTAATGTAACAATGTATATCTTGTTGGGTTAGTAAAAAAAATTCACTCCATGAATGCGCCCACATGGAACGTAGTTTGGTTTTAAGAGTATAACACAGTATTCACCCACACATAAGTCGTAGTCTGGATGTGGATTTCCAATATTAATACTATCTATAGCAAGTTTATCGACATATTCATTTTCTGCTAGACCTATATGAGCTTTTATCCACAAGAAACGGATTGGTGAACCAGTTAGAGATAACTTTGCGCCAAGTTTTTTAATTTTAAAGATATATGGGTTACAATTAACAGTTGGGAGTTTCGTATCTTCCAAGGCTTTTAAAACAGAAAGAGAATCGAAAACTAGCACTGCACTATTGTGATTAAATTATTTGACACACAGTAAAGCTTTATATACAGCTACATCTTCGGCACTAAAAATAGAAAATGCAGAATTTAGACTGTGTGATTTTTCTATGTTTCTAGATGGAATATAATAA